AGACTTTACTGGAGATTTTTCTTTAAATTTTGCCAGAGCCTTTGACATAGCAGACTATGGCATAATATCGCAAAAACTTAAAAATGTAGGTATTGGTGACCGTCCACTAACCTGGTTTCGATCATATGTATCAGACCGATTGCAATATGTGACCATTTCTGATATCACATTATTTATAAATGATCTGCCTAACGTCTGCAAATCCTCAACTATACATGTGTATGCAGATGACACTAATCTACACTAGTAAACCCAATCTACCGCAGAAGTTCACAGAGGTAGAAAAATGGATAGCTGTTAACAAACTCTTCCTAAAAACTGACAAAATGGTTACAATGATGTTTGGAACTGTACCTAAATTACTTAAACTACAAAATCAACAACTATGTATCAGATGAAATTCAAATAGCACACTGACTGCAGTCTGTTCTTTCAAATATATAGGTATGTTGCTAGACCCCAATCTATCCTTTGGCCTTCACATTGAAAAAAACCTCTTCTTTATCTAAAACTGGGTGCCCTGTACAGAAACAAATCCTGCCTGAGTCCTACAGTAAGGAAACTGATAGTGCAACAAATGCTAATGCCGGCCATTGATTATGGGGATGTAGTGTATGCACCTGCATCGCAAACCTACCATTGTCACATGTTAAAAGAGCTAAACTGGCTATTGCTGGAATCCTGACTCACTATTAGAAACATAGAAACATAGAATGTGACGTCAAATAAGAACCATTCGGCCCATCTAGTCTGCCCAATTTAAAAAAATATTTTCATTAGTCCCTGGCCTCTTATAGTTAGGATTGCCGTATGCATATCCCAGGCATGCTTAAACTCCTTTACTGTGTTAACCTCTACCACTTCAACTGGAAGGCTATGCATCCACTACCCTCTCAGTAAAATAATACTTCCTGATATTATTTTTAAACCTTTGCCCCTAATTTAAGACTATGTCCTCTTGTTGTGGTAGTTTTTCTTCTTTGAAATATAGTCTCCTACTTTACTGTGTTGATTCCCTTTATTTATTTAAATGTTTCTATCATATCCCCCCGTCTCGTCTTTCCTCCAAGCTATACATGTTAAGATCCTTTAACCTTTCCTTGTAAGTTTTATCATGCAATCCATGAACTAGTTTATTAACCATGAACTAGTTTAAATATCCTTCTAGAGATACGGTTTCCAGTACTGCGTACAATACTCCAAGTGAGGTCTCACCAGTGTTCTGTACAATTGTATGAGCACTTCCCTCATTCTACTGCTAATATCTCTCCCTATACAACCAAGCATTCTGCTAGCATTTCCTGCTGCTCTATTACATTGTCTGCCTACCTTTAAGTCATCAGAAATAATCAATTCAATCATTCAATGAGATAAAATGGTTATAGTGCCTACCATATCCCTTTAAAATTGATAGGTCCAGTTTAGAACCCTTAACATTGCCTCACCTTTTTACCGGATGGTGCTATTATAGTATGAATAACATCTTCATTTTCAGGATACAATGAAGGATATGATGGTGATGTCACAGACCCATTATCTTCAAATAAAGTGTTTCCATTAGAAACTGCAGGTAAAAAATAGAATTGAATACATGTATTACAAATACAAATGATAATTTTATATTGTGTCAATCAATATGTGGATGGGTGCTTCACTGATCAAGGAACACTTTATAAATATACAAATGGTCACCATCTAATTAGACCAGCCTGGACGTGATTTACCCTCCATGAGATACTCTATGGGCTCATTTACAACTTTGGCCTCAATTTAATATTTTTGGATAAGCTTTTCAAATGATTTAATATTTTTGAATTAACATTTAAAATATTTTAATATTGTACAAAATATTATTTAATACTTAGTTTTTTTGTATATTGATTTTTTTTTAATATTTTATCCAATACCCCTGCCCCCCAATGCAGAACAAGATAAAAAAAAAAAAACTTCTGTCACTTACCTGATTCCGGGGCTGATATCAGCCGGCAGGGGGGGGACTTAATGCTCATGCGGGGTGATGGCCAAGCTCACCTTGGGACTTCCCCATAAAAAAGCATTGTATAATGATTGAGCGGCATCTGGCAGACCCGAAGTCAAACTATTCTAAAATAGGATTTACCTGCCTTATAGTGAACTTTAAATTTGCTTTGAGAAGCTTCCAGATTGCTCACAAACTCCATCAGCAGGTTATTTTGAGTAGAAACAAAAGGAGGGATTAGTGTAGACCCACAGGCCTTGTCCTGAAGAACTTTTGATTCACGACTGTCACCATTGTAAATTTTCAAGTAGGAGTCACTGCACCCAGATGATTGTGGGATATTGATTTTACTGATTTCCAGATAAACCTAAGTACAGAATATACAATGAGAATAGCTCAATTACATCGATATATATTACATAGTTACAAAGCTGAAAAGAGACTTGCGTCCATCAAGTTCAGCCTTCCTTACATATTCTTTTGCGGTTGATCCAAAAGAAGGCAAAAAACCCAGTCTGAAGTGCTTCCAAATTTGCAACAAACTAGGAAAAAAAATCCTTCTTGACCCCAAAATGACAGTCAGATATCTCCTTGAATCAAGCAGTTATTACCCCACTAATTAAAAATTATCTCCCTGTATGTTATGTTTTTGGAAGTATGTATCCAATTGCTGTTTAAACATCTGTATGGACTCTGACAAAAACAACCTTATACAGGCAGAGAATTCCACATCCTTATAGTTCTTACTGTAAAAAACCCTTTTTCTTTGCCTTAGATTAAATCTCCTTTCTTCCAGCCTAAATGTGTGACCTTGTGTCTTATGTATAGCCCTGTTTATGAATAAATTTCCAGATAAAGGTTTTTTACTGGCCCCGAATATATTTGTATAATGTTATCAGATCCCCTCTGAGGCACCACTTTTCTAAACTAAAGATTTTAAATGTTTTAATCTTTCTTCGTTAATAAAATGCTCCATTCCTTTTTCCAATTTTGTAGCTTGTCTCTGCACTTTTTCAAGTGCCATGATATCCTTCTCTAGAACAGGTGCCCAAAACTGAAAAGCATATTCAAGGTGTGGTCTTACCAGCGATTTATAAAGATGCAAAATATTATTTTCATCACGAGAATTTAGGTCCCTATTTATACATGACAAAACCTTACTGGCCTTACTGCAGATTGACATTGCATATTGCTGTGTAATTTGTTGTATATAACAATTACCAAATCCTTTATCATGTGTGGTTATCCCTAACTCACTACCATTTAGGGTGTAAGTTGCTTGTGCATTCTTGACCCCAAAGTGCATAACTTTGCATTTCTCTACATTAAATTTCATCTGCTATTTTAGTGCCCAGTCCCCCAATCTATCTAAATCCCTCAGCAGCAAAGTAATATCCTGCCTGCTCACAATGTATCACTTTACAAAGTTTTGTGTCATCTGCAAACACTAAAACATGGCTTTCAATGCCTAGTTCAAGATCATTTATAAACATGTTAAATAGAAGCGGTCCCAAAACAGAACCCTGAGGGACCCCACTTACAACTTTTGTCCAGCCTGACAATTCACCATTAATGACAACTCTTTGTATATGGTACAAATGAACATGAAAATACATTAATATGAAAGATGACATAAGTAGATTTTCTATTTAATGTAAAGAGATAATCCATACTCTGTTTTTCTCTGTTGCATATTTCCGGGTATTAGGTATTACATCTATTTGAAAGCTATCCATAGGAACTAATACATACTTTAATTTAAAAAGAATATATAAGTAGAGTTGAGCGGACACCTGGATGTTCGGGTCGGCGGAACTTCAGAAAAATCTCCGGGTTCGGGATCGAACTTGACCCCGAATCCCATTGAAGTCAATGAGGACCTGAACTTTTGGGCACAAAAATGGCTCTAAAAAAGTCCTGAAAAGGGCTAGAGGGTTGCAAAAGGAAGTAACATGGGGGTAAGAGTAGCACAAGTGCCCTGCAAACAAATGTGGATAGGTTAAAATAACATAAAATAAGCAGCCGCTTAGTAGATAACTCCCTAATTCCAATGGTATTAGGGAGCTATCTACCAAAAGGCTGAAAGACCTAAATTGGTCTTTCAGCCAAACTTACAAATACTAAGTAAAGATTACGCTATACCACGAGTAGGGGCGTGTCAAGTACCCTGTTCGATGAGTGGGGGCCCTGTCAAGTACCCTGTGCGATGAGTGGAGGGGGGGACCTACTGTCCTCCTCCCTGGCCCCCAACCCTGCACGGCGGGTGGGGGCCCTAAATAACAATAAGGGGGGAGGGACCTACTGTCCTCCCCCCGGCCCGAACCCATGAGCGACGGGTGGGGACCCTAAATAAAAATGTAACCCCCCCTGGTGACTAGGGATCCCCAAACCACTAGTGACTAGGGATCCCTCCCCCCAAAAAATAACCCCTTCCTTCCCCCTCATCCTAAAAATAATGAGGGGGGACCCTTATCTAAATACCTGTAAAAAAAAAAATAGACTTACCATTTGTCTTCATTCTTCTAAACTCTTCTTTTTTCAGCCCCAAAAAAGGGCAAATAAAAATCCATAATAACCGATGCACTTTAAAAAAAAAAAAAATTGAGCGCAAAAAAAATACCGTATTTTTCGCTCCATAAGACGCACTTTTTTTCCCCTCAAAAGTGAGGGGAAATGTCTGTGCGTCTTATGGAGCGAATGTGAAGATTTACTTACCTGTCTTGGAGCGTGGGCCGGCTTCACAGCGCGCTCCGCGGTCCAGGAACTTCTATTTCAGGTTCGGGTTTCCGGCGGGACTGAAAGGAAGTGTGCACACTGAGTGTGCACACTTCCTTTCAGTCCCGCCGGAAACCGGAACCTGAAATATTAGTTCCTGGACCGCGGAGAGCGCTGTGAAGCCGGCCCACGCTCCAAGACAGGTAAGTAATTATGGGACAAGGGGAGGGGGAGACACTATGGGACAAGGGGAGGGGAGGAGACACTATGGGATAAGGGGAGGGGGACACTATGGGAGAAAGGGAGGGGAGGAGACACTATGGGACAAGGGGAGGGGGACACTAAGGGAGAAAGGGAGGGGAGACACTATGGGACAAGGGGAGGGGAGGAGACACTATGGGATAAGGGGAGGGGGACACTAAGGGAGAAAGGGAGGGGAGACACTATGGGACAAGGGGAGGGGAGGAGACACTATGGGATAAGGGGAGGGGGACACTATGGGAGAAAGGGAGGGGAGGAGACACTATGGGATATGTATTTCTCTCTCTCTCGCTCTCTCTCTATACACACACACACACACACACAGAAAGACAGATATGGATATACAGTAATTGCCAAGTTCTGTGGCATATGTTGGCTATTGTTGTGTGTGTGTGCGCGTGTGTATTGTTGTGGACAAAAATATTAACCCAATTCATATTAATAAAATGCCTATTTACTCAGCATAACCACAATCAGCATTATTCAACCTTATATGTGATTTACCTAAAATGGCCACTAGGGAGTTTCCCTTTGACATCGACTAACACCCTCATTAACAAGATGGCGCGGGAATCTGGGGGAGACCTCCAAGATACCAGTTACATCGCACCCGGTAGGAAGGGCACTAAATGAACCACTTAACACCTAACCAATTATTGACGTATTATTCCATGTTATCTCTGACAATGCATATGATGTAATTTTGCTTTATAAGGGGCATGCCGTTCCCCTTAGAATAAACATTCCTCAAGTTTTTCATTAACCCTAAACCTGTGTCTGGTGTGAATTACTTCAGGAGCGTGCACGCATCTTTTTAAATTTGGCCGGGGGCAGATACGCAAGATAATCAATTGATTGATTCCACAT